AAGCTCTGATTTTAATTGTCCAATCAAATTGCTTCAGGGGTACATTATTGTACTGTACATTTTTTTTATGGGAGTTGAAGGATGGGGCAGTAATGCTTACCATATAGATTAGATTAGCAATAATACACTGGACCTCTACAACATCCATATCCTCAACCTGCAAAAAATGAGAAGAAAAACCAAAGATAAGCATAAGTACAAAAGAAAATACTCAAGGGAAATGCTCAGTTAGAGCAGACTTACTTGCATGGTCTTGAGTGCCATGACAAAAGCTTCTAATGGTAACTGGTGAGTTTTCATCAAAAGAGATCTAGACAAGAATGATAAATATGCAAAAATGAGCAACACATGAAAAACWAAAGTATAAATTACACTTCCCATTACACTAGCTCTTAAACTTACACTTTTTTGAACAAATTCCTGTAGGTGATGATCTTGAGTTTTTCTAATATTAGGTAAATCCCACACTGAATAAAAAATGCCTAAAAATATAAAATTGTACAAAGGTAACAGTTTAATTTCTTTCATTCCTGACAAACCCACATCATGGCCATCTTTAGAGCACCATATGACACCATATTGAAATATCATTATAGGAAAATAAAAACGTTGAATTTTGTAAAGAAAAAAGTTCACAAAGGGAATGGTTTGACTGGTTTTATTTCTGATGAACCCACATGATCATAATCATCTTTAAGGTGCCCTCATCATTGTTATTGCCCTCCTATAGCATTGCTAATGTTATTTAATTTGAATGTGAAGGTCGAACATCTCAGCTGGGGGCAGAGTTAGTATTGTGCATGTGCCTCAGAGCATATCAATGGAAAATAGCAAACATTTCAAATTGCATTTTCAATGTTTTTGATTAAAAAACAAAAACAAAGTGAAATTTTTAAAAGTTGTAATAAAACTATTCTTACTTGTTGTTTTTCTAGGGTTTGATTAAGCAGAAGTAGATTTCCTGTTCTGTTATGCAAATAGAAAACTCATTTAACAACATTAAATAAGATTGAAAACCTTTATAACACCTTTATTAGACAGGGTACAYTGTATAATGGGGGGTGAATTCAGGGCCAACTAAGGCCCCGCCACACTATGCCAGATAAATTTGAATCCGAATTTTTATTTATTYGGTTAGGCCTACYGTCCACACTAGTCCGGGCGAATCCRGAACAATTCTTCACCAAAAACGAATTTTCGAAGTGGAACCRAATAAATAAAAATTCGGATTCAAATTTATCCGGCATAGTGTGGACCCTAAAACCCAAACCCTAAAACAAACAAAATATAGAAAACAAAATTTAGAGAAAAAAAAAACACCAACAAAAAACTCCAGCCTACTGGACTGGGAAAGAAAATTCAAAATGTTGACAGTGAATAAGATTTAAATATTAAACATACAATTTCAATAAGTATCATTTAACTTACTTTACAGCCTTAACAACATCAGTAAATTGTGGTAGTTTATATTTATTTAACACAGCTAACGTTGGCATATATCCCTGGATAAGAACAAAAAGATAGTGGCATGATTCATGAATTAGTGACTGGTTTATTAATAAATCGGCAAGAAAATTAGGGCATGATTCATGAATTAGTGACTGGTTTATTAATAAATCGGCAAGAAAATTAGGGCCGGTTGTGCAACAGGAAACACACTCATTTTTTTGTTTGGCCTTACCCTGTGAGCAGAGGGTTTTTTCTGACCCAGCTCCAAGGAGGGTCAGAAAAAAACCTCTGCTCGCAGGGTAGTTTGGCCTGAGTGCTGTTCTCCCACAAACTACTTGGTTTATTCAAAAGTTGGAAACTTGCAAGAAATGCCAGTATAACAGTATAACAGTATTAGGAAAAAGATTCTCAACTTACTAAAAGCATCTTAACTGGTATGAGGTATATTAAAGCAGCCCTGGTGAAGAATATTTAATTTTATTAGCAATGATTTGATAGCATATATAAAAAAAAAGAAACAGGATGAGAATGGAAGGGAAATAAAGTCAGAGGGAGTGAATAAAGTTGAAATAAAAGAAAGGGAAATTGAAGAGAAATAGAAAACAATGATGTGGATTGAGAGGAAAGAGTGTACAGTTAGGTGATGGGAGAAGTAAAAATTCCCACAAGATTGAACAAAAAAACTTTCATATTTTACCTTTTGTTTTTAGGAGATCTTTTATGGCAGTGCTCAAAGGCATAAGTTAAATACTCATCAGCTGTACACAAACCAAATATTTGAATTAGTTTACAGTTGAGATAAGATTTAGCACCATGAAAGACCTTCAAAGTTTCATCCCATTTTAGCTCATCTTTTTGGATTAGAACAAAACACTGGTAAGTGCAGGTATTGATTCCAAGCCTCCAGAGGCAAGAGGTACGTGAGTAAGTATACTACTGCTACGCTATACTTAAAACCTTATGTGCTCTTTGGAAGACAACTCTATGACTTGTGCCTACGTTTAATACCATACACCTACCTCCTTTATAGTCACCATCAAACATGTACTTTCTTCCTACAAAGAATCTTTTACATAGGAGTAAGAAAAAAAATTATTCTGTCAGTAGAAACATATAACATTTTGCATTTGTTATAAATTTAGGCTGCGTTCATAATGTATGGCGGGGGGGGCCAGGTGAAATCTTTAAATGACAAAAAAAATCTTAAGACCCCCCCTTGAAGTCCCCCAAAAAATAACTATCCCCCCCGGCAATCTCTCGTAGCTTCTTCTAAAAATTTTGCATCCCCCCCATTCCTCTAAAAAAATTTCAAACCCCCATTTTACTGGTAAAAATTTTCCCAACCCCCCTAAATTTCACCTGCCCCCCCTACTATACATTATGAACGCAGCCTTATCTGGAAGCATGGATGGTATAAATAGCATTACTATACTCTATTTGAGTCTCTACACTGTGACTTTAGTTCAATACCTGAATTCAAAGATACAAATAATAACCAGTGAACAGACAATGTCCAGCCAAAGTTGGCATTCCTTTTTGACTGGTCACATTGACTGGTCACATCGACTGGTCTCTTACATGTCAATCAGTCCAATATGACTGGACATCATGTCTGACCATTCAAGAGCTGTTAGTTTGAGCCCTGTATTAGATGCTAAACTGTTAAAGGACAAAGGCCTCTGTCGTTAGATTAGTTAGCAAAGTTACCTGTAGGCAACAAGGTGTCCAATCTTGAACTGTTCTTTGATGGGAGCACTTTCAATGGCTCTTATTAATGGTCTACACAGGTGTAGCTTGTTAATCTAAAAAAAGTATATATATGATTGTAACAAATGTCATACTACGGACCTCACCGAACTGTGGCGACACGCCAAAAATTTGTCTCGCTACCACACCCTAATTCATCTACTGACACGCCTACTTTTGTTACATGTATTACAGTGAATACCTTACTGGCAATGTGCTAGATCCGAGACAGTGACAAAAGTAGGCGTGTCAGTAGAYGAATTAGGGTGTGGTAGCGAGACAAATTTTTGATGTGTCGCCACAGTTCGGTGAGATCCGTAGTAATAGTAAATTTGCATGTTGCCATTAAATTACAAAAGGCATGCACAGGATTCTGGTAGTGGTAGTAAATAGATCATAAAAATTTCATATCCGGCTGCCTTACCAACGTGGTTGGTCCTTGTAGTGTAGTGGTTAACATATCGGACTAGAATACCGAACACGTGGGTTCGATTCCTGCCAARGGCATTTGATATTTTTCTCTTATTCTCTCTATTTCATTACACACATCAAACGTATAATTTATTACTACTATGCTWTGTCTATCCTTTGCATACATATGTACAGTGTTCAACTTACCTATAGAGAAAAAATATCACTCTGGGATCCTCACAAGTACCCTACATTTTATATTCCGGCTGCGTTACCAGTGTGGTTGGTCCTTGTAGTGTAGTGGTTAACACATCGGACTGGAATACCTAAGACGTGGGTTCGATTCTCACCAAGGGCATTTGATATTTTTCTCTTATTCTCTCTATTTCATTACACACACCAAACGTATAATTTATTACTACTATAACATTAATACAGATAATTCAAATCTTTTTCTTTCTCAACCTACTTCCTCTGTCTAGTAAAATTATTCACCATTCATTGATTACAGGGAACTACTGTCTAGGAGTATTTATACTGAGTTGGGCTGCCTGTGTAATCATTTCCACAGGAATCCCATTTAGTTAGCTGWAACATTTAATTTACCTTAAAGTAGATCTTAAAAAGCTGAATAACAAGAGCCAACATTCCCCACTTCTTTGACACATCAAGAGATGACCGGCTATGCAAGAGAAATATAAACAGTATAAATAGTTTATAACRATTCTACTCCTCTACTGGTCTTATCATTTTCTTCTTTATCTTTATCATTATTGAACCATTATTGCATTTTCAGCTTTTTTTGAATTAAAAATACCAACCCCAAAAACTAATTTTTCAGTTTTACCTGTCACTAGCACAAACTCTGAAGCATCCCATAATAGCTTCTGCAGACTTCTCCAGGGTGTCGCCAGGGTTACCGCGACCACTGCTAGTCAACTGTTTATCTGCCTGATATAAAAAGTCATAGTAAATAAGCCAGAATRACTAGACTGGCTAAGTGCATGTGTTGGCTTATTCTGTGGTCAGTTATTGTTGGATAATAATATTATATTAATATTATTCACGAAATAGAAAACATGCGCGCACATGCTGTGTGCAGTTATAAAGCATGCGGGGATTGGCAGAACATGAGAGAAGTGTCAGGAGAAGCATGACACGTAGCGGAGTGCTTCTCAACACTTCTCRAGTGTTCTGCCAATCCCCAAGTGTTTTATAACTGCACACAGCACAGCAAGCAAGTTTTTTATTTCTTTTATAAAATACAAATTACAATAACCATTATTTTAGATAAGAATGATGCAACTGAAAGTGCAAGCGCATGCTGTGTGCTCTCATAAAGCACGAGCTCACAACCAATCAGAACGTGAGATTTATAACARCTATTTTATAATATTGGATAATATTGGGAGTGGGATAGTAGAAAGTACAAAGCTAAAAATAAAGACTGCTCATGATGGCATCTCTGCTCAGCAAACTGATCTAAATGGAACAAGTTAATTAGTACAAAATTTACGGAGTCGTCTGGTCAGACAAGTATAATAGGCCACTTAAGCTTCGTATGCAAATTGCCCATTCCAGATCATGTGACATTCCCCTGAGAATTGTTCTTTAAGGACTAATATGTTAAAATACTTACATATGAAAGAATCAACTCCCAAGAGTGGCATCACATAGTCTGACATGTGCACAACAAACAACGAAGCTAAAGAGGTCTATTGGGCAGCACATTGCCTGTTGACAGGCTTTTAAGCTCTAAAATAWCCCAATGAAACGTATCAATCAATTTGCTACTAACAAAGTATGATTGGGGTAGCATTTCTCATGGCATTTCTTGACATCTAGAAGGCACATGCCTTTGAAAACCTTGTGTTTCCTAAAAATACCATGGCAACAYTTTGATTGATGTTGGCTGTATTGATGAAACCTTTTCAGCATGTATAAAAACTACTCTGCTACTATGCTCATCCTCTGCATGTATATTTAAAACAAGTGTAGAAATATCATCATTGCTTTTTTGTTACCTTGGAGGCAAACTGGCGAAGGTCTAGCGTAACTGCATTCATTAAAGGTAATGACCTAGGAATAAAAAATCATTCATACAAATTATTTTGAGCAATATTATAGTATGATATTATGATAGCATTCAATCAAAAAGGCTGCAAATTTAATCAAATTATGCACACATTAGTTACTAATTATTCTTTGTTGTACACTCACCAGTTTTCATCTTTTTGTGTTTGAAATGCACGAATAAAAGCCCTGACAAGCTGTCAAGGAACTCACTACTAATATGTTTGAATAATAATGATGATGATGATGTTGATAGTGATGACAATAATTTTACAGTGGTTCACTGAACTTTAATCGGAATCTAGAAGTTGATTTTTGAAGATGAAGGAAAACCAGAAAACCTTGGAGCACARGAGAGACCCAACGAGAAACTCTACTAACATAYGACACCAAGACCAGGAATCAAACATTATTAGTGAGAGTCTAGCATGCACTCAGGCATAACCCAGGGCACAGCTAACTCACAGATTAAAATTAATAATTGATTGTATTCCAAGGATACTGTACCACTCCAGCTTGAGATGCATATGCTTCAATATAATCACTATTAGCTATGGCCCACACAGCCCTAGCAAATATAGATAAAAACATATTAAAATAAAGTGAGACAAGAAATGAAGAACAATGGTGAGAGAATGAATAAATGAGATGAAAGGAGAAGTTAGATGGAATAGACAAATATAGACAGATTATAGAAGTTTTCAACATTACACGAAGCTGCATGCTTTAAGCTACACACTGAAATGGTTTTTTTTGCTTCTGTCAATTAAAAATAATCAGTCAGTACCTTTTATATTTTGACTATTTG